ACCCTTAGCAACCACCAGACCTTAATGATCAAACCCTTAGCAACCATCAGACCATAGTGATCAATCCCTTAGCAACCATCCGACCTTAATGATCAAACCCTTAGCAACCATCAGAACTTGGTGATCAGACACCTAGCAACCATCAGACCTTAGTGATCAAACCCTTAGCAACCATCAGACCATAGTGATCAATCCCTAAGCAACCATCAGACATTAGTTGTCAGACCCTTAGCAACCATCAGACCTTAGTGATTAAACCCTTAGCAACCATCAGATCTTAATGATCAAACCCTTAGCAACCATCCGACCTTATTGATCAAACCCTTAACAACCATCCGACCTTAATGATCAAACCCTTAGCAACCATCAGACCTTAGTTATGATTCTTAGCAATCATAAGAACTTCGGTTGTCAGACCCTTCACAACTATCAGAACTTGGTAATCAGAACTTTAGAAACAAATGGTACCTGGTAATTTTGTGGCTTTAGTAATTAGACCCTTAGCAATCATCAGACCTTAGTAGCTTGCGTGCAGCCAAACTAACTAACTGTTAAGTCTGGGCTATACAAGAGAAAAGTCCAGCTGCAGGCAGGCTAGACCTTAGTGGTCAACCCTTAGCAACCATCCACAATAATACCTCAGTGGTCAACCCTTTATAAACTACAGTATAACTAGTATAAAAACATCAGTCCCTGGTGATATCTGATGGCTGTCATGGATCTGGTTGTTACTAGGATCTGATGGTTGCTACATGTACAGCTACATGAAGGTTCCAGATTATCAACAGAATATGATGGTTATCAAGTGCCTGATGGTGACCAGGAACTGTATGCTAGGTTTATTATTTAATCACTCGGATCTGATGGTTGTTAGGAGCCTGATCTCCAAAGTCTGGTGGGCTTAAATCATCACTAGGGACTGATAAATACTTGATGACCATCCAAGCCCTTAGCTAACCATGATCAACCCTTGAGATTATTCAACCCTTAATGAACATTGGGCAAGCCTTGCTGAACATCTAGTGAGTATTCAATCCTTAGTCCTCCAATCCTGATGACTATCAATTAACTATTCACACCCTTTGTAATTGTCTTCATATTACTATGGCCCCATCTACTGTAGGTTTAATTAATTAGTCTAAATATACATACCTGATATAGCTTGAGGTTTCTCACAAGTTCATTGTGGCTCTTTACTGTCAATACAAAAAATAAAAGATTGTTTGTCACTTTATAAACACACAACTGCAAAACAACATAGTATGTTACTAAATCCTCATAATTTCTTGCCTAAGAACAAAAACCTGCTGCAACGATTTTGCTATATTTCAGGTAGGCAGTGTATATTCAAATAATAACATTAATTTTTTTGCACTTCATTATGCTAAAACTCATGCATTCTGATTGACTGTTTGGGCAGGCAGTATTTTTTTCAGTATCTGCCCACAGTCTGGTATGCCGACGTCGTCTGCACCGGTGCATGGGAAAAAGTAAAGGGTGGGTAAATAAATAAGTTATTTACTAGCTGTCCTAAAGTCAGTACAGACAGGGAAAAACTGTGTCCTTGGTCTTGAAAACAACCTCTGACATTCTTAAATGGCCTTGGTCCATATATTCAAAACCTGGCACAAAGTTTTTCCCTATGTGGAGCAGTCCTGGCCAGTACAGTAAGTGACATGTATGTGTTATACTTGTGATATGTCTCAAAGTATTCAAGTTTACTATATAGTTAGTCCATCACCTTCTGTGAATGTGGCAAAGAGAACCAGGAGCTTGAGATATCCAGTTTCCTGTAAAAATATTATAAAAAAATTATAAGCTCAAATGGCAGCTAACCGGACATATTTAAATGTCTATGCGATCATTAAGCAGCACAATGAATTATACACTAGTATAATATCAGGCACAGTGAAAGTGCATTTTTTCTCAGACTTATCAAATATAGGATAAATATTTTAAATCTGTCCTGAGGATCACTTTAAACCTTACCACAAATGGTGCATCTTGACAATAATCAGCCACCAACAAAGTAAAGGCCAATAAGTCATTTCTAGAAAATTCAATTTAATAAAAAGTCAAACTGCTGAAACTTTGATCATTGACATCAAGAATGTATAATTCAACAATCAGTCCAATAAAAGTCCCAAAGCAACTAAAATCTTGGTAATCACCAAAATAAAGCAGCTGCAAAATGCAACATACAGTACTTTATATAACATGTAAGAGTAGTGAATAGGTATAAGTTTTTGTCACATTTTGTGTATGGGGTATATGTTTTTGTCACATAATTTACATAAACCGGAAATGACATCATAAAACCGGAAATAACATCATAACAGACCAGACAATAAACCAGACAGTGTTAGGTTACATAAATGAGTTTATTTTGCAAAAAGTGACTGGAATACATTGTTTCTAAAACAAGCCAGGTGTCAGGTACTTGGAGGGAGGCCTAGTGTCCTTAGGGTAAGGAGGTTTTAACATAGGTAGAGGGGGAAATTGAAACTTGGTGTTGTAAGGTGGAGAACCACCAGACCATGCCAGTTGATTATTATCACGTGGGCGCTTGGCAGGGGGTTCGTGGAGTTGTTAATGGTATTGCTCAGGGGGAGGTTGTTCTTGCTCTTGTTCTTGCTGTTGTTCAGGAACGATTTCATCACACCAGATAAACTAGAGCAGGAGATGTCAGGGTAGTTGGCACTACAAGTGAAGAAGGTGGGATTGTAGTTGTTTTCAGAATGGCTGACGTTTAACTTGGCAAAGAGATTATGTTCCTCACACTTGGGGTGGCACTTTGGACCAATGGCAGAGTTAAGGGTGGTTGTGCACGTAGTCTTCTTGTTTGATGTTGAGCGGTACTCATGATACACACAGCGTTGTTTCTTTACACCATTGAGTTGGGAGGCGAAGTGAGCTGAGAATCGAGAGGTTCTAGGTTTATGATAGTGTCGGTAAGTGGGAGGCGGTGCTTGAGGCTCATTTCTACCCAATTGCGAGGAGTACAGCTAGCGTAGGCGGAGCAATGAGCGTTGGAAACCTGACGCCCACGAAAGTGTTGGTTTTCTTGCTTTTGTTTAAACTCAATGAACTGAAGCCATTCAAGGTCACTGTAATTACGTTTGTCAATGACGCATCGAAAGGTACACCACGTGGGTGAAAGGGAGCGGCAAACGAAGACAATGGTGTCTGCATTTTGGYGGGCATCCTGTAATGTAGAACAGTCCTTTGTCCCTCCCGATTTGGTGAAGTAGTAATGGGAAGTGTAATTGCAAGCACAAACAGGCGCCAAATAAAATGCTTTGTACTGAAATTCTTGGCTGTTAAAAAGAGTGTCCATGATTAGCAGCAACACAGGTAAACCTTGTTTTTGGTAGTGCTTTGATTGAAGACTGCACGTTCTTTGAGATCGTATTGGTGAGTGAGGCAGTTAAATTCAAAACACATCAACCATGTGGGGAGTGCATGTGTCGCAGATGTCAGTGTCAATGTCATGACTTTGAAAGAAAACACCCAGAATACAATGATGTAAACCTAATCTTTTTTAAAGAATAAATTCATTTATGTAACCTAACACTGTCTGATTTATTGTCTGGTCTGTTATGATGTCATTTCCGGTTTTATGATGTCATTTCCGGTTTATGTAAATTATGTGACAAAAACATATACCCTATACACAAAATGTGACAAAAACGTATACCTATTCACTACTTGTAAGCATGAAATTTATTACCTTAACTGTCGATCAGCATGACTGTAGCCTTGTGTCATGTACTTGACAAAACTATTCTTTAAAGCACTATCATGATGGCAAATAAAAACGAAATATAAATTCAAGGGAAGCACATGTGTTGTAGCAGTGACATAATGACAGTGATAATGATTTATGATTTATATAGCGCCTTTCTATATGGATATAATCAGAGGTGCTCTGCATTGAGTTGTGAATGACAGATTGCTTTTATGCAGTTTACGAGCATGAGAGATGGTTAATATGAGGTGTAGGCACTGAAGGTGGTCACTGCCAGGGTTTCTTTTTACGTCCTCAGTGGTTCTTTTACGTCTCTCCAATGTTGGTTAGTAATGACAATTGAAAGTCTAACCATTTGCAGATGTAATTACAAGGACAGCACTCTTTCTCCTCAGTTATTTTAAGACCCTGAGTACTGGTCCGGCCAGGACTTGAACTATGGCCTCCCGCACRAAAGTCTGATGCTCAACCCACTGAGCCAACCGGTTGGCGGTTATATTATATGTATGTAGTTAACAGATCAATACAAGTCATGGGTAAATTATGTTTTACCTGATACATTCATTGCAGTTCAATTGGTCAGCAACCTGGAATATAACATAAGAAATTATTATTAGGTAAAATTGATTTAAAAGGTAATGCAGTCATGCTTTTTTCTGCAACAGTTTTGCGCAAGTTTTCATGTGTGAGTTAGTGCGATTTGGTCATGCAAGCTTCTTTTGTTACAAAGATTTCAATATGAAGGACATGAGTTAATCCCCAAAGGATAATTTTAAAAATCTCTCCTGGACTTCATAATGTACTACTCACAAACTACTTCATATGATATGTGGCAATTGACAAAAAATTGAATCACATTTAACCATAAGGTCTTGTATTTTTTTTGATACAGCCTTAACTGTTAAAAAACACTAATTGTAAAAATATACAACCATGATTTACAATTGCATTAAATGCTACAGTAATAAATTAGCTGATGTACAGTATTGATATTAAAAACTTTTTCCTGCAAATCCTTAATCCTATGAAATACTGTAAGTTTGCCAGCACATTTGCCTAGTGTTACACAGAGTCTGTAAAGTTCTTTCAAGCTCTCAAGCAATTGCTTTATTGAAATCATGAGGGCTTGCAATAATTACAAAGGCATCATTGAATCAATCTGGTAAATGCCTGTAATTTTGATAGTTAACTTACTATTTGCTTGGTTCCATGCTCAAGAAGATTCCATAAGATTTCCACAGATAAAAATATCAATCTACAAAAAAAAGACAGTTTTAAAAATTGAAAGATTCCAGCAGATAGCTCACAGCTTYAGCAATTGGTTATAAGTCAAGAACTAATCAACTTTTTATACWTGAATAGGACATTTGCATGATGGCATCATTTGAYTCCCACTACCAAGATGCTTCGCAAAATTTCTTTCTTATTTAAATTTGGTTTTCCTCATGAGAATAGTAAGACAATTTGTGCAAATTAAATGAACAAAAGAAAGTGTGCAAGSGAGTCTGGTAGTAGAGGTCAATGACGCCATCRTGCAAACGTCCTATTGTAGTTACACTACCTTCCAGTAGGATCTTCATCACTAAGTCCACTGCATATTAATCCAGCAGCACCAGCTGACAGCATGTCATCACAGTTTAGTGCTGAAAGTTAATAACAATATCAGATTGTCAAAGATTTAAAAAAAAACCAGTCTAAATCATTCACAACAGATTCATTTRCTTTTGATCCAGTGATAGTCAACTTCATAAGTCCCTGCGGAGGACAAGCAATTGGAAAAGGGTGGGGATATTCATTGTACCTTTAAGAGATCCAGATCTGCAATTTGGTACCATTTAGGGTGTTTGGCAAATCTAAAAGGACCACTAGAAAGTAAGCCGGAAAGGTGTTCGTCGGGAAAGGATGCCAATTTTAGGTGCACTTTTTGCCCAGTGTGAAGGTTGGGAGACCTATATCTGAGTTTACTTATATAACTAATTTTGATAAAAGTGACCTTAGAAAGGCAATTGTGCAAAATGTCTGAATATTAGTAAAAGAAGACAAGGTTTCATTGTTATTTTGACTACATCATCACTGGTCCACTTTGCACGGACTTTCACTGGAACATGTGAACACTTTACACAAAATATGGGCTAACCCTGGGCAACAAGAGTAACTGATGAAACTGAAGTATCAAAAAGTTTACTACAAACAAAAACTTTTGTTTTACTAGTTCACTATTTTTAATCAACTGCCTTGATTGATTGATTGATTGCACAGAATGTTGTACTACAGTGTACATCTACATGTATCTCAAAACTCATATTCACCTGAAGAAGAATAATGCTGAAGGACTCTTATGATCTCAATTCTTAATTCTGGATCATCAAACATCTCCAAGCACTGTAAAGAAAAATATGTAATTGCATAAAATTATACAGKTATAAAGTCAGTTAAAAAATAGGTTTAACACTGTATGTATTGCTGTGCATTGGGACCAATGCAAAAATGGTTGAAAAAAGAAACCAGTTTATACCAGTTTCTGGAAAAAGCAAAAAAGATAAAAAAAGGTGGAATGAAGTGTACCTCTGTAAGTGTTCTTGCTATTCCACTGACATCTATCAGTTCTCTAATATATGAAAGGCTTGATACCTGAAAGTCTATCATAGGTAGGAATAATTTGGATTTTTGGAAATTATTGAAAACAATTAACAGTTCAACAAACATTATTAGACAGCTGTACCAGCATGTCAGGTGCAAGTCATCTGTGATGGATAATCACCCTGAATCACCAATAACAAACAAATAAAAACAACAGTGACTAGTTTCTCACCATCTATCATTCTTTGTTTTGGCTGCTTACAGTATAATCTGGTTAATGAGTCAAGAAGAGTGAATCTTACTGGTGATGAAGGAACCCTCAGTAGATTCCCTGCAAGTCAACAGTGTTACAAATTAATAAATACAGTATAAATAATATCTAGTTATAAAAAAACCTATGACAAAAGACATACCCAATTCTGTTAGCATGTTGACTACAGACTCTGCATACACCGATTCATCCGAAGATTTTTCTTTTATAAAAGGAAAGCTAAA